GCTTTGTTCTTATTAAGCCGCCCGCCCAACTGGTGCTATTTCGTGAGGGCAGCACTCGGAAATTCATACCAGGGGTCAACTGTGCACAGGTGTTAAATCAAGACCGGCAGGGGCGGGTTTACAAAAGGCTCCAGGGTCTGGGAGGGTTCCCTTGTCTTTAGGCGGCTGAAGGTTCAAACAATTCCTTTCTTTTCCTTTTCTCTCGACTCAAGTGTTGTGGATGGGAAAACAGATACAACGAAATGAAAACACACAAACAGGTGTAATTTTCATTTCAATTTCAGGTCTACTTCTCGGTCTCATAGTTTATGCTCCCACCACATGAGGGAGAGGGCTTCCGAGGATGTGGAAGGTTCTGTGAGCTTTGAATTCCGTTTTCCCACACACTTTTTGAAGCGCCCACCTATGCCTGTAGACACCTGGGCCTCACAGACAGTCACACAAACCACAAGCTGTTGGGGCTACCACTGTACTGCTACAGGATCGCAGTGCTGCTATCACACACAGTGATCTGGTATTTTCTCTAAGAAATGAGGCGCAACTGAATGCAGAAGATTAAAGTGCCTCCCCATTCATAATTACGGTCCTTGAGTCAATGCGAGAAACGCGGGGCTACAGAGTATATCCAAACTTGGTTCACATGAACAGCCGTGAAGAAACTGTTCCCGCCAAGGACGAGTGAAAGACATGATCTCAGAAGACCTCAATGCTTGCCTGTCTTCTGTGTCAAAGCCGGGGCCCACATTGTGTGGGACTTAGAAAAGGCTAGTCACAGAAGCGGTGTCAGACCTTTCATGTTATTCATAAAATTCCATTCAGTGAATCTGTATCTTTCAGTGTTATCCATTTTTACATAGAAAAAGTGGTATTGGAAGAAGCACACCAGCCTGTGTGATCACAAGGTGTAGAAAGGATCAGGGATCAAAGAACAAAAAATCATATCATTGTGAATGAGGGGGAGTGCGGAGTGGGGACCCAAAACCCATCGGTAGGCAACTTATGGAAGGGCCATGGGGAGGAGACGAGCCAGTCAGGGTGCAGTGTAGCAACGATGAAAAATACAATTTTCCTCTAGTTCCTAAATGCCCCCCCTCCCTCACCCCGGCATGATCCCAATGCTACCTTACTAATCCAGCTGGACCAGAGGTGAGAGTGGCGATACTGGAGGGTGGAGGGAGGGTGGGGTGGAAAGGGGGACCGATTATAAGGATCTACCTATAACCTCCTCCCTGGGGGACAGACAACAGAAAATTGGGTGAAGGGAGATGTCGGACAGTGTAAGATATGACAAAATTATCAAGGGTCCATGAGGGAGGAGGAGGGGGGAGGGAGGGGGGAAATGAGGAGCTGATGCCAGGGGCTTAAGTGGAGAGCAAATGTTTTGAGAATGATGAGGGCAATGAATGTACAAATGTGCTTTACACAATTGATGTATGTATGGATTGTGCTAAGAGTTGTATGAGCCCCTAATAACATGATTTTAAAAAATGGTATTGGGACAAATAAGTGTGTTGGCAAATAGGCCTCTATTCTTCTTCTTCTCGGTCTGATACCAACTATTCACTTGAGAAACTCTTTGCTTCCCTCACTCAGCGACAACCCTAAGTGGTCCTGGGATACTGTGGAAGTTATATAATCTCTTTACAACTTGAACGAAGGGGTGGAATCTAGCCTGTCAATCAGGTCACAGCATGATAACCTCATTTGGAAGCCACTGGGGGCCAGACTCACTCTCTCTGCCTTCCCTTCCCTCTGAGTTGAGACACTCAGAGAGCTGGAGGAGACCCGTGGAGACCTGTGCCAGTGCTGAGATGCTTCCACTGTCACTGGATGCACAATATCTACCCACTGGCCTGTGATATTTCTGCATTCGGCATCACTGTATGTGCTGTGTGAGTCTAAAGAGGAATTTATGGACTAGTATGAGACATATAGGCTAATATCGGACCCGGGGGCTTACCAAGAACGGCTGATTTGGATACAGCCTGAGACACAGAACCAGAAAGGTACTAAGTGGGCTCACAGCGACCCTACAGGATAGGGAAGCACTGTCCCCGCGAGTTCCCGAGACGGCAACTGTTGAGTGAAGGCGAAAGCCTCATCTTTCTCCTGCAGAGCTGCTGGTAGTTTCAAACTGCCAACCTTGCAGTTGAGTTGCAGCTCCACAAGTACCTGCTCTACCACTAGGGCTCCTCATCGAAACGCTCAGAGGACTGACAGGACCAGGGACAGGGTGGGGCGGGAGGGGAAGAGAAAGGAAAGCACGTGCTCTTCTCTGTTCCCTGCTGTAAGTCTCAGTGCTGTCCTCTGCCTGCACTCTGCTCCCCACCCACGTAAACGGAAGGACTTTCTAAACCTGGAACTTTCTGTCTGCTGGCAAGCCATATGCTAGTGGCCAACTGCACCCAGACAGCAGGGTTTTAAAGGTACGGAAGGCTCTGGAAGCCACGCGCAAGGAGGCACAGAGAGATGAAGCAGCCTAACATGCTTGAGACCCCATCGGCAGTTTAGTTTTGGAGGAAGACAGAAGTGAGGCAAGGAATGGAGGAGGACAGTGTCGAAGGGGTAGGCAAGGCTGCTGGCAGCCTACAATGTCAGACATACTAGGACATTCTAGGTTTTTCATTTGATGGAGAGTCTCTTATGCAATTTTGCAGTAAGTGAAGAAGCCTATGTTTTATCCAACTCTCTCTGGCTACAACCAAGAAGGGTACACATTTGACAGAAGTAAGGTAAGAGTTGACAGGTAACAAACTAGGCAATGGTAGGAGGGATGGAGAGGGTCGATTCTAGAACATTTTAGAAAAAAATTCAGGAATTTGCATATGAGAAATGAGCAATACTGGGAGGGAGGGAGGGCACCCAGAATTACTGAGTTTTTGGTTGCCCGAGTAGATCCTGGCCCACTAACAGAGACAAGGGAAACTGGAAAAGGAGCAGGATTAGAGTTGGAGAGAGACTGATGGAGATTTGGAGAGGATGAATGAGATGACTGAGGCCAGGTATCCAGAAACTTGGGGGTTGGGGGGCAGGGGGAAAATTCAGCATGACAGCTGACTGAGAGTCATCTGAATATGCTGTTGTTGTTAGCTGCTGTAGTGTTGACCACCCACCCAACTCACGGTGACCACATACACAGTGGGACGAGGACTGTCTCATCTATGGGGTTTTCACTGGCTGACTTTTAGAGGTAGATTCTCAGCCTTATCTGCTAGTCCACCTCAGTCTGGAAGCTCCACTGAAATCTCTTTCAGTGTCATAGCAGCATGTAAGCCTCCCCTGGCTACATTTGTGATGTGCTGGCCAGGAATCTAATCCAGGTCTCCTGCACAGAAGGAGAGAATTTTACCATGGAACTCCCACTGCCCTGCACTTGCATATAAGCAAGACATCAAAACATTGAGAGGGAGCAAATCTATCAGAATGATAAGCCAACAATGGAATAGACAGAAGACACAAGATCACTGAAGAGAAGACAAGAGAGACAGGCGTAAGAGAAGCCAGGGGAGGAGGATGTTTCCAGGAGTGGAACAGCAGTACCCGAGAGCAGACACAAAACATGCGGGGATGGGAGGGCCTTGGAGGGGAGCTTACCAATGGGATTCCAATCACACACTACCCCAAAAAGTCAGATCGGAGAGAGTTGAGATGCGAGTGGGAAGTGAGAAAATAGAAATGACGCCTTTGAAATGTTTTTGTGAGAAGAGAGAGAGATACAGAGGGGCTTGGCTTTAGGATGGGATGGATCTGAAAGATCTAAACATCTGGTACTTTTCCCTAGAAAATTATTTACCTGGAAGTTACTGGCACAAAGCACTTCCTGGTTTTACTCACTGTATTTTTTTTTGCGATTGAAAAATATCACTATTGTAGTGACATTCACCATTTTTGTCCCTATTGTTAATTTGTGCATTTTCGCTTGCTTCCCCAAATCAATCTTGCCCATGAAACTAAAAGATATTGGATTTGTTGGCCAAAAATGGAAAACAGATAAACGTGAGAGAAACAGAAATTATAGGAGGAGTGGATAACTGGCAGATCCAGGCCCCAGCTTTGAATGCCTTGTCCTTGAGGGAGGTAAGAATGGATAGAAAAGTGTAGACTTCCTTGTTGGCAAAGAACAGAGAGCTGAGGGGTTTCTGCCCGGAGATGCCCATTCATCAAGCAGGAAGCGAAGCCATCGGCCGGGCAGGGGACTGGATTGGCTGAGGAAAATTGAGAATTATTGTGATGGAAGGCTGAAGAAGTGGATGAGAGTAACCAAGTGCCCGGGCTGGTCACACTGGAGATACTCAATTTGGGGTGACATCAATCCCTACCTGCCTGGGTGTTACAGGAACAGAGAAAGGGAATTGCTTCAAAGGAGAGGCTCCTAAAATGTTTGAACAGCCAGACAGCTCCTTACTACATTAATATTTACATATCCAATGCCTGGGGAAAGGTGAATCTTTAGGCCTTACGTGTACAGCCCCCAATCTTTTTAAAAAAAGAATTGTATCATTGCTCTTTATATTAGATGTAAGAGTAAGGTGACCAGACGTCCCACTTCTGGCGTTTTAAAAAAAGTCCTGATTTTTGGAAAGAATGCACGACAAGCTAGGGTATACAGTTTTCAGCTGCCATGTGGCTATTTCGCCAGGATATGAGTTTTATCAATGGTGTCCCGCTTTACCAATGTTAAAATCTGGTCACCTTATGTAAGAGCCATCGTGTGATGAAGTTAAACAACAGACATTCTACATCAAACAAAACGGCAAGTCCAAGTTCACTGCTATGCAGTTGATAACAAATAGCAGTGACCGCATAGGACCGAGAACTGCTGCACAGGGCGTCCACGCCTGTTCGTGTTACGGAAGCTGACTGCCGTTACCTTTTCTCCCGTGCAGCCGTGGTGGGTTCAAACGGCCATGCTGCTAGAGAGCAGCCTCTTGCTTAAGCACTGGGTAACAGGCTCCGCAATACATGAAACACTACAGGTATATCTCAGATAAATAACATACCGGAAACTCCTGGTGGCGTCTTAATGAATTTTCCATTAAAATGACCGATAACAGCTTCGCATTTTTCTGTCGATTCCATCCTATTTACACATAAAAATAGAAACTTGTAAATATTTAGAGGTCTCTAAGTTTTCACTTTGTTCTGTACATGTGAACACACATGCCACCTAGCCACAAGGTGACCATGATAAGAAAAAGTTGGTCTATCGGACCTTCTAGATAATCATTGATTTTGAACTTTTATAGTAAAATGATAATAGACAATCCCCAAATACCTTCCAAATTGTATAGATTCCACGATATTTCCATTATATCCAGCATATTCCATATCAAGTATATCAAATATTTATTTGAATTGTTGGAAAACTGATAATCAATATGCAGTAACTTAGTTAATTGTGGTACTAAAACAGTAATAGTTGAAAATACTGCTTAGTTGCTCCTCCCTAGAATTTTTACAGTTATAAAATGATCTCTGGTTTTCTATATTCCGGCAAAGACACATCTTAACATCAAGATAAGAATTAGTGTTAATCAGAGGGTGTGCCTGCTGCTTTTTCATACTTGCCTCGGGTTTCATATTAATTAAATCCGTGAAGTCAGTTGTGCACCGTCTCTGTCACATGAGAAACATTCCAGGGTGCTGAATGACTGACTTCGTTTTCTTCCATGAAAGACATCTTGGGTGATTTACTCTAAATGCAATACAGTCTTGGACTAACCAGAGAATGACTTTCATTTTCATGGGAAGCAGTAGGATTCATCAGCACGAGGATTTTATTGGGTTCTATCTTTGGAGCTAAAGACGGTATCAGCTGACCTTCCTGTCAGAAGAAGGCCCAGAGAGGTCAGGAGGTTAGGCAGACACTTTCAGTCTATCACCTGGATTCTTTGAAGCCAATGATGTGGACCTCGGAGACGTGGGCCTTGGTAACTTACTACCTGCAGCATATTTTTTGTTTTTATTATACAATCATCTGACTTAATAGAAGCAGTAATGGCCCGAGAGCTGGAAGAACCATCATTCGCTCATTACTTGTCATCCAGATGACAACTGAAAAGTCCGTCTTTTCCCCAATTTCCTCAAATGTTGAAAGCAATGCTTCGAAGACATCATAGGGCCATGGTAGATGGGATCATCAGCCAATGGGTTAATATGCATGACAGTAAAATGTCAACAGGTTTTCCCTCCAGAATCAAAGTTAATCCCTGAGCACATACAGACATGGCCTGTTACTGCCAGTGTCAACAAGCAATAAGCTTGTGTGTGAACTTCAGGGTTAAAGTTTTGCCACAAATGAAAACTCCACCGGTTTATTTATTATTTTTTTCTTTTCTTTAGAAACCAACCGCACTGGAGTATTTTTTCCTTGCTGGGGAGGGAGGGACACAAATAGATGGAAGGTATGAGGGAGTTTCAGCCGTATCTTTTAAAAAAGAGACAAATGTGGAACAAAAACTGTGAAGTGCTACTATTTGTTCAATGTATGCGGTGGATACGCCAGATATCATATTATTGACTTACTTTTCTGAGTGCTTCCATAAAAATGCCAATTAATGGATTTAATTGGTGGTGAATCAAATTTTCATCCAATGAGGGAAAACAACAACAACAAAACAGAGCAACTTAGTTATGAGAATTATGGGCCTGACGGGGGTTTTGAAGGAGATACAGGCATCCTGAATGAATTAACACCCACTTTCGGAACTATTGCTCATGTGATGTTTCCTTGCTGTGAGCCACCAGACATTCAGTATGCTCAAGTTCAAGAATCCTTAATGGATTTCCAAAAGACTTGCGAGAATGTAAGCCAATTAAGGTTCTTGGTGCAACTAGCTACCATAACCTTGGCTTAAAGTCTCTTCTTGCTCATTTCCTATTTTCTAGAAGAACTAGCAAAGCTATTCTTGACATTAAAAGTGGGGACGGGGGAGACAATGTACTTACCTAGCAAAGCCAACACCACGACTTGTACCACTGGAATCACGTAGTATCCTTGTAGAAATAACTTGTCCAAATGGTTTGAGCATATTTTCAAGCTCCTGCTCATCCATGGACAGTGGTAAATTAGAAATATACAGGTTGGTAGGGTCTTGTTCCTGTTGCTAAAACAGAATGGAGAATTGCCCGTTAATTTCCAACAGATGGTGAGGCATTTCTAAGACGAGTAGTATTTAATATCAACAGGGCTCTTTGAACAAAGCCACCCTCTTTCTATGGGCCCCTTTAAAGTGCTACCTCGTGAGATTATGGGAACCTCAAAGCACCGTGATCACCTTGGCCACGTGCAAGAAGTGTCAGAAACTTGGGCAATCTGTGCAGGCCAGCTATGGTCCCAGCGAGCCCTGCTTAGCAGGCTTTGGAAGTTCACTACTGGCAGGCACTGCTGCGCTGGGCCCAAACTCTCAGCTGCGTTCCCCAAAATAACCAACCTCTCCTCCACTGCTATTTTTAGGTGCCCCTTTCAAGTCCACGGTCACACGGGACATTATAACTGCTAGTAACGCAACTTAGACACATGAAGAAGGATACTGAACAAGTCATCTAGAGTCCAAAAGGTGGGGTTCCCCCTAAAGTCTTTCAACTCTGCTCTATAGCTGAGGTCTCATGACTTCTCTATTGTGATAACCAAAGGAAAACGACAGTTTTTAAATTAGCCACAACAAGACATTTTAAAGGCATGTAAAATGACGAACTCTGGACAGAACGGAGTTTGAATGTAGGCATTCAAAAGATGGAGTTCAGTACAAAGGGGGTAGGGTGGGGCGCTAAATCTTTGCCACCTAAAGGTGGATCCAGGAACCCACTTAGGAATCCAATTATCTTGGAACCTGTTAGAAATACTGAATTCTCAGGCTCTGCACCAGACCCACAGAATCAGAAACACTGCTTTAGTGATATTGTCAGGGGACTGTGTGCACATGAGTTTGAGTCCTTGTCCACTACCTTATCTCAGATCATTCCCACCCACGCTTCCACTGCTGAGGGAGAATCAGCTGGAACCAAAGATAAAGAAAAGGCCTAAGAACTTATAAATATATTTATTATAACTGCCAACCATATTTACTAAGAATGCAGTGTTAAATTCATCCAGAAAAAAAGTTTATAGGATGCCTGGAATAATTTCTGCCCAAGTCAAAATTCATCTCTGCAAATCTGAGATCGGGATGACCTTAAATGAGTTTAAAACCTGAATTCTTCAGCCCTAACCAATATATGTAGTCCAACTATATATACATTCAACTGTACAAGATTATGATTTTTCTCTAATAAGCACCAACAGTAAGGCTATTAAGTGCTATTTTGGCTACAGGTAACACACGGAGGGCTCATTTTCACATTCTGTATTACAAAAATGCATAGCACTTTACAAATGTATGTGAAGCATACACATGTGTGCATTTGTATCAAGAGCCGACCTTCAAGAATCAAACCTCTCGTTCTGTAGAATCTGCAGGCAAGAGAGAACACCCTGGCACGCCGTTCTGCCTGGCTGCTGTTGGGGTGGCTGGCTCGCAGTGACCCAGGGGTCAGAGGAGCACGGTGCTCCGGAGTGCTTTCCATCCCAGACTGTTAGGAGGTCGCGCTTAAACCTCCTGCTGCTTAGCAGCCAAGGGTCTCAAAAGGGGAAGACAAGTTCTGGAGCTCTTGAAGACTACAGTTATGAAAGAATGGACGCTAGATGGCCACGTCCCTACAATGTCCTCATTCTGATACAGAGGAAAGCAGCACAGAGCAATGCCAAAGGCCCAGAGCAGCGGCTTCCAGCTCAAGTGCCCTGTCTCCTCCGGCATGAAGCCGGGGTTGACTCTCAGAAAATTCAGAGATTTCAAATGCTCACTCAGAAGCTGAATAACCACCCTCCATGAACCCTTGACAGGCTGAAGACAATGCCAATATCCCTGCGCTCAGCCGAAAAATTAGACCTGTTCAGTGCAGTAATAATGCCAATTATGCTGAGCAAAACCTATCAATGATTAAGAGGTCTCTTCAAAGTATGATCATGGTAAAATGACTGGCTTAATGGCCACAGCACATGAACAGCTAAAATGCTTCCAGATAGAGAGGGATGAGCAATAAAAAAGGGCCTTTAAGTTTTCAAAGTCTCCCCACTCTTCAAAGGTAGGGTGAGAAGTCATCTTATCTCCTTTATTTCCACTTCATTCATTGCCTCCATCAACTTCACCCAATTAATTACGCAGCTTCTCCATTAGTCATCTCTTCTTGGCCCTGAAGCTTTGCTGGTATGCAAGCCAGCACTTGTCACAGCGCTGCCTCAGCCCACCACGCTCCTCCCTGAAGGGGAGCTCTGAGGGGCCCTGGGGCCTCTCACAGCCAGTGGGGCACCCACAGTTTGTCTTGTGCACCCCAGACTGCTCTTATGGGTTAATGTGCATATCCCTAAAATATGTCTCAGGAATTCCAAACCCCTGTATCTGTGCTTCTAATCCAATTTGGGATGGAGTTTTCTTTCTGTTAATGAAATAGTTCTGTTTTGATCTCTCGAGGTTAAGTGACAATAAACAGGAGAGAAAACGGATGGAGGCGGAAGAAAACAGATAGCATGCCTCATCAAGGGCACCACAGCCTCTGGACCAAACTCAAGCCACCAAGCTGTGATTGCAACTCCGAGCGATCTTGTGGGGTGAAGCAGAACTGCCCGTGTGGGTTTCTGAGATTGTAACTCTATTAGGGAACAGAAAGCCTCATCTTTCTCCTGTGTAGCAGCAGTTGGGATCGAACTGCTGACCTTGCAGTTAGCAGCCCGACACATAACCCCCTATGCTACCATGACTCCTATAGTCACCATAGAACCAGGGAATAAGTAAGAGCCTTCTTCCAGAGCCAATACCAATGTTTAGCCTCTTGAGGTGTGGAACAAGAACATTCTGTGTGTTACAGCCAGGTACTTGGAGCATTTCTGACAGAGCAGCACCTGATGGCTAGGACAGGGGTGATGCCCTCAGCTGCCAACTGCAAGTTAGAGGAGGGACGCCTCAGCCACCCCAAGGACAGAGACCAGGCAGGCGGCTGCGGGGATGATTGCAGCCTTGGGACACCTACGAGGCAGTCCCACTCTCGCTGACAGGGTAGTCAGGATTGGAATTGGCTTGGCAGCAAGGGGGCTTCCTCATAAAATAAGTAGGACTCGAGTCCTGCCTCCCAAACGTTTACAGAGACAGAAAACACTGGCGATGGATGTGATACTAGAACTGTGAATGAATCCCAATGGGACTCGATGATGAGAAGCAAGCTGTGTGTATTTATTTTGTTTTGAGAAACACATGTTAAGGAGAGGGCATGGTTTTGAGCTGAGGCTTGACACCAGACTGAAAGGCTGTCAGGAATTGAATTTTGTTGTTTCTGGAACCTTGCCCATTTACGAGGTACCCGCTGGCCACAGCAATAGGCTCAAACACAAAAGCTGTGAGGATGACCAAGGGCGGTAGGAGTTTTGTTCTGGGCTGCTGTGAGTTGGAACTGAAAAGGAGGGAGTGCTGTAGTGCTGTGGGCCAGGTGTCACGATGCTAACAGGAAGGTTGGCAGTTCAAACCCTCTAGCTGCATCGATGACGCAGACTGCTCCCCTGAAGAGTTACAGGCTCAGAGACCCTCTATGGCATCTTTGTGAGTCAAAACTGATGCCATGCGGATACGTTCCATGAAGCATCTGCAGACAAAGCCCATGGGAGTCTTGCCAGAGCTACAAAATCCCTTTGAAGTCCTATATTCAGTATTTAAAAAGCCATATAGATTTTGCAATCTATTTCCTACCTGGGTTTTTTAAAAATACAACAATGTTGCAGGCTCAATAGCTTCAGCTAAAATTGGTCTTCCAGCAAGGTAAGCAACTGACCCTGTGAGTCAGTGTCATTTGGTAGGTGAGGGGAAGGGGTAGGAAGCCGGAGCTGGTCGATTGCAGATCTGGGAGCCATACCCTTTTGGCAGCATAGGAGCCCGGGTGGTGTCGTGGTTACACATGGGGCTGATAACTGCAAGGTCAGCAGTTTGAGGCCATCAGCTTCTCTACAGGAGAAAGGGGAGGCTTTCTATTTGGAGTTACGGGCTGGAAAACTCACCGAGGCAGTTCTATCCTGTCCTGTAGGGTCGCTATGAGTTGGCATCGACTCGATGCAGTGAGTTTGGTTTTGGTGTTTTGGAAGCAGGGAAGTGATAGCTTCAAACTTATCTTGACTATAAAGTTGTCTGAATCATGCTTAGATTCAGAAGAAAGCTGGCAGCTCTGTGATTAAAAGGGCTTAACACATGCTCCGGATAAAGAGGGGGGATTCTTCAAAAGGTACCTAAGCAGCATATAATCGTCTCTATTTGGTGCTGGTGGCACGTGGTTACGAGGTAGGATGCTAACCACAAGTTCCGAACCACCAGTGGCGCTGTGCGAGAAAGAACAACTGTCTAATCCTGGAAGGAGTGACAGTCTCAGAAACCCAACGGGGCAGCGCTGCCTTGCCCCATCGGGTGGCTGTGGGTTGGAATTGACACAATGCTAGTGAGAGATTGCGAGGCAGTGCAATCTTTATGAACACCCACAGGAGATTTTTGTCACATGTGAAATTTGAGGGCTGACGATAGAGAGATAAGTACCTTCTCAATGTGTTTCAGCTGCTTCTATGATTAAAGAGCGTTCCCAGGTGGCACAAATGGTTTGCTCTGGGCTGTTAACCTAAAGATGAGCAGTGTGCACCCACCCAGGGTTACCGCAGGAAGAGCTGATTCCAGCCAAGAACACTATTGGGTGCATTGTCTCCGTAGCACACAGAGCCATTATAAGAGTTGGACTCGACTCAATGGCAACACGTTTCTCCCCGGGTTGACGATTCTAAGAGTGTGCACACAAGCATTACATACATGTCTTCAGTCAACTTGAAAGTTTACCGAGTGATGGAAAAAATAAAAGCACATTAAAAACTGCTAACATCAGAATCCTGAAACACACCGAGTTCTTAAACCGTTCTTTGCTAGGGGAGCGGAATGCAGCTTCAACACAGGGCACGGTCTCCTACGATGGTCAGGCATTTGCTTTCCAGAGTAACCACCGTACTTCATTGGGTTTCTCCATTTGGGAAGACTTGAATTGAGAATGC